AGATCAGAACATAAGTTTCCAATACTTGCTGTGTTTTAAAAGTAGGTTGGTGATATTTTTTAAAGTAAAAAGTTTTCCAATCACTTTTTCAAACTATTTTTCATGCCTTACAAATGTCACTCTTCATTTTTGATTAACGACACTTGACCTGGTCTTTGTCACATTAGACATTGGACCAATGACACCCTAACCCTGTGGCATACACACACACATTTCTCCAGGTTCCTTATGGGTCCCTTCCAACTTGAGACAGAGAGTCATAAACTACCTTTCAGGACCTTTTCCACAAGAAACTCTTATTTAGATTTGGAAAAAAAAAAAAGCCAAAACATTTCAAGGCTCAACTACTAAGATGCTCAGCAGTATCTAAATGCTCAAAGCTGAAGAGGCAGACATTACTGCCACCCACTGCCCCTAAAACACTCCTATTGCAGTTAATCATTACGTGTCTATTAGGCTGATTGTCCCCTTAACAACATAATTAAAAGTACATTTTCGATTCTTATTTATGCAGGTCTTTGTGCATAACATCAATTTTTAGAAAGATGCTCCAAGCCATTCTATCCCAATTCTGCTGTTTACCTGGATTGAAAGCTGTTTGATACTTCTCAGTGTGAAGAGTCACTGCACTTGCTAGAAATTGGAAAGCTGGCAAGTCTAAATAAGGGCATAAGAATAACAATTTACACCTTTTTTCTCCCCAATTTACCATTAGCAAGAACAAAACCTGCACTATTCAACACCAATGCAAGCCCTATTGTTAATGCAGTCATCTGGAAAACACAAGTATCATTAATAAGAGACCGTTGTGCAGCCTGTACATGAGGCATTTCACGCTTTATGACCTTCAATCTGCAAACAAACACTTTCATATGTTCACCAGCACAACTCAGTTACAAAAAAGAGCAACTATGGCACCTAAAAAAAAAAAAAATCAATAGCCCATTATAGCAGCCTATGATAGACACTTTGAACTTTATTTCATCTGCTGAAATGTGATACGACATGCTTGGAGAATACATTGCAGAGCGCTCCATTTCACTGAAGTCAGCAGCTCCATCTGATCCATGGTGCAATTCTACACAGGAGAGAAATGAAATTTGCAAACTTGGAAAGGGGAGCTAAGAATGCTCTGCCAGATAGCCCAGTAAGTCAAGGCGCTCACCCGCTGAGAAAGCACGTTGGGCAAAAGAAGTTGGTTACTTTGCAGCAAAGACCTTTTTTCAGTGACAGTTTTAGCGTTGACTTCTGTTGTAGTCTGGATCAATGACCATTTTTCAGCAGGAGGCTGGAAACTGACTCTAGTTGAATTTATAAAGTATGTTATTAACATATTAAAATATCTAAACAGCTTAAAAAAATCCATTTTACAGTGCTTTTTTTGTCATTATAAACAACTTGATAACTGTAATTCTTTCTAGCCAACTACACATTTAGTTGCCAGGAGGAAACAGTTTTGGCAAAAGAACAACCACCAGTTAACATACTAGCACCCAAAAATTAGGAGGCTGACATATACAACAGGGAGGAAAAAATATCATTGAAAAGTTCTCAGTTTTTCATATTGAAGAGCAGTTCATCCCTACGAGTGATATGTTCATAATACATTCTGATTTTTGCAGTAAACTATACCAAAAACTGAGAACAATAAAACAGTGACAGTTCAGAGCAATTCCTCACTTACATGCTGTTTCTAATCAGAAGAGAGTCTCCATCTTCATGGAAAAGACTGTAAGGAACAAAACCCACAATTCATCTACAGAGACCAGAATTTTGGGGTCCCTTTAAATGCCATCTGCTTACATCAGCAACAAACTCTTTATTTAAGCTGGAAGCTCACTTACAAAACTGACAAACTTGAAGAACCAAGACATCTGATGACACAGGACACCAGAATTTACAGCTTCTCAGACATTCTCCTGATTTCAAGGCACGTTTTACTTGCGAAAAAGCAGAAAATATGATTTTGTTGATAGAAGCAAAGTTCATACACATAACACAACCACACACCTGCACCAAAGCATTCCTTAATAAAAGCAAAACACATTTTACAAAGCTATTAATTATGGATTCATTTTGAAAGGCAACTCCACTGACTGAACGCTGATTTATAAAAACTAGCAGAAGTTTGACAGTCAGTACTGTTTGCATTTTGAGACACACCACAAGAACACTTCTTACTCTTATCCAAGCCAGTACAAAAAGGCAGAACCATAAAGCCATGAAGTAACTCGAGGACTGATGTTTTTATTAAAGATCTAGAACGTTTATTCCAGAGCCTTCTCACTTGCAGTCCAAAATTCAGTAAACCAGCTCCCAGTTCCAAGTTGTTTGTGAGCCAGCTTATTTTGGTTTCACTCAACAGCTGAGCAGCTCATAGTTCCTAAACACCGTTAAGCAGCATATTTTTGCAGACTCCTCTGTAATGTAGCCACCTACTGACAAAGTAAAGGAAACTAAGGCAAGGGTTGCCTTTTTACACATGAACACAAACTGTCAGAAAAAGGGCAATTTTGTTCATATAAGAAATGGATATTGTGGCATATCCTGCTAAAATATCATTTGGTGAACTAATGCATCTCAAAGTGGAGAAGAGTGAATACTGGTAAGATTTTAAATGAAGTTTAGGAACTATTTCCTTGATGCAATGTTTAAAAGTCTGAATTACAAATTAAGCTATTCAGTAAACTTATCTTTGTGCTTTCCTCTTTTACGACAAAAACACTTCAAGGGACTTTTGAGCACCACTATTTTCTCACAGTACTGTTTGTTTATGTACTTCCTAACTGAAGTACAATTAAGATCTCATATTCCTTTCATTCTCAGTTAAATCTCTCATTAAAGTTCTGAAGAACTGCCACACGGTGGAGGTAGATGCCTACAACTTGAAATGAGAGGCAGAAGTGATGTAGTGTCTTCATTTTATGTTAGTGTGAATTAATTACCCGAATTAATTACCACATTACTTGCTTTGAAAGTTACTAGAAAGCTCAACTGAGGAGGGGTAGAAGGGAAAGAGAAGGAAAAAAATAACACCATCCCCAAGTTATAAGAGTCATTAACAAAAATAATTTTAAACTGTAGGGTAATTGTCATTGAAACAATACAACAAACCCTTTTAAAATTTAAAACCTGTGCAGATCTATATACTAAGAGAATTAGATCCCTGAGTAACATACCAGCAGTAGCCACATAACTTCTTAATGATCCTGTCCAGAAGTGCACAGATTCACACATTCTGAACTTTCTTCTTCCCCTATTTACTACCTCCAGAGCAAAGTAAACAACATCCACTACTCCCAAGTGTGGGAGTCTACTCTTCAGGAAGCTGCAATAACTTTATTACAATAGTCATTCCTCAAGTTAGGAGAAACAAGACACTAAGGTAAAGAACTGAGGAAGCAAACAGCACAGTTTTAAATCTGTTACTTATTGGTAAAGGAGATCAGCCAGACAACTGTCTTGGGCTCCAGCTCCTTCCTTATGTATTTATCTTCAGACTTACTTGATCCAAGTTCAACGTTATCACTTCACCAAACCCAGCACATAGCACAGCTCTGCAGCACACCAGAAATGTATTCTGCAAAGCAACTAGCAAAACAACAATTTAGGTGAACCATCTTTATTTTTCTCAAGTCACATGCACGGCAAATCTTTCTGGCCAAGAAAAAAACAGAGGTGTTTTGAGAAAACACGTTCAGGTATTAAGTTTGAGCAGTTCCCTTGGATCAAATGCAAATGGACAAGTAGAAAGCACTATTCCAAAAGTGTAAGCCAGAAAATCAGTCAAATGCATCTCAAAAATCTCTGATTCTGCCTGCAGGGAGGTTACTTCTAAAGCATTCAGTGAAGAACAAAGTGCCCCGAGGTAGAAACCTTACTTCTCACTAACTGCTTCAGGGATTTTAGTCAGGACTCTCTCTAGTTTAATCCTGTAAACTGGATGCCCATTAGCACCTGAGGGACATTAGGCATGCTGCTGGACTAATCTTTCAATCTCATTTTATCAGAGGAATGCAGCTGAAGGACTCTGAGACCACACTGTAGTGGGAAGCAAAGCATGGAAATGGGTATAATTGGATTCACCTGACCAACACAGGACTGACCCAAACTAAAAGGCTGATGTTGGCCACACTAACACAGCCCCAAAGCTGTAAAAGGAATAGTAATTTCCCAAGTATTATGAAAAAAATTGTTCTCTTCCCAGAGGAATGAGACTATGAGCTTAAATGACACAAATGACTACTTGAGAGGCTCGTCTCCAAAACTTCCAGGAGGAAAGTTCCTTTAAAGAACAAAAATCATTCAGCCAATACCTTAAGAGAAAATTTCTTAGAAAAGCCTTGAAAAGCTGTGGTCACCAAACATTTCTCTATTTAGCTATTTCAACTCCATGTTTTATACTTTAGAATGCTACAGTTTGTTACCTGTTAAGTGCACAGTGCTATAAAATACCCACAGAGATGACATTTAATGACTAGATAGTTTGAAACCCAGTTGGTACTACTTTGGAAAAATCAGCAGCACCTCCTCTGCTGACAACATTTCTATAAACATTAAACAGCATCATGCTTAATAGTTAAGAGCACTGCAGATAGTTTTTCCTAAAAGAACTCATACTTGTTTAAAAACCAAACTAAAGAAAAAACTTCATTTGATCTTTATTAATAAAAAAAAAAAAAAGAGTTAAAAGGTTGCTACGACATTTAGAACAGTATGCTGGAGATAATTATAAAACAGTAATGAATCCTAATAAAAAATAAAATAAAATCCCACATACTAAGAACAGACCCTGTCCCTGGGAGCCAGCTGTGCAGTTTTCTTCTTGCAAGTAGCACATCACCTCTCCAGAGGGGTGAAAAAAAAAAATAATTAAAGGTATCAGTAAATGTAGCTGCCATTTTAAGCATTTCCAGCTTACTGGGAAATAACTCACAGAAAGCAATTATAGAGAAGTCAGTGCTGACATTTTTTCTACAATCATGCAATTGGAGCACAAATGGGAATAAAGCAGTTTTATTTACACTTACTCAGTTTGCAAAACCATGTGTACATTGCCATCATTTAAAGTGCAAGCTACATGTCTGCTGAATTAACTGAAGGCATAACAGGCGCAGTGGGAGCTAAAATTACACCAGTAGTTATACAACTAACCACGGATGACACCTCAAACCCTGACCAGCTGAGTGTGGTACTTCCTCCTGGGTATTACCAGCCAAACACATATTCCATTGCTTTGGATACAATACTTTCATCTTTCCTAGGAGTCTGCCTGTCAGAAACCACCTACAATGGAAGGGAGAAAAAAAGAAGAGAGAAAATTGAGAGTCAGTCAATATAGCTAATCCTTTTTACACTAACCCATTTTTTCTTCTTTTCCTAAGGGCTACTATATTTTGACAAAACACGTTTGAAATAATTTCAGAACAAGACCTTAATCCCCGTAAAAGAGACAAATAACTACTTTAGTATTTATTATTATTATTTTAGAGGCTGAACAGACTGGACCACATCTTTACAGAAATGACAGCAAAAGACAAAAGCTAAGGTCACACTGAAGTTAATGTCTGTACAGCCTCATACAACCCAGGGGAGACAGCACAAAAACACATGCTTCTTTCTCCTTTAAAATACCTGATAGTCACTGGTGGAAGCTTTATATGCTGTTGCAAGAGGTCTCATTGTAGAAATCCTCGTAGTATTATTTGCAGGCTGTACTGGTGTGCCAGTAGATTTTGTAGGTGGAGTGAAAACCGAAGACATTGAGGAGGCAGAGCTTCTTTCAGAGTTTTCCATCACACTCTTAAGAAGAGGGTTAATATAATGTAAACAAATACTAAAAAGCAGTATTCCAACCTTCACTATCTAAAATTCTCTACTATCTAAAATTGTTTGATAAAAATCTATGCACATCCCAAAGATAAATGGCCTGTTGGTAAAGATCACACAGGCACAGACCACCACCAAGCATTTTCCTCACTGCAATCATTCATATGTTGGATTATGCCATTGCAAACCGGTGAAAGCCTGGAATCTGTTCACTGTCCGTACTAAATGTCAACCAAGCTTGAAACAGTGTAGAGAAAATACATTGTACTTCTTGCAACAAACTTCAAGTTGTTTCAGGCCCAGTGGAACAAAGTAGCGTAATACTCCCTTTCTAAATACTTCCAAAATATTTGACCTGATCCAGACAAGACTGTCTCCAAGTCTTTACCAACTCTCACCTTGTGCTCAGACTCAGCTTGCCAAAGAGTTTCATTCACTCCCTTTAGCAAATGCTAGAAAAGAAGTCAGAAGGCTCCATTTTGTACGCTTATGTTTAGATAGGAATGCATGAAAAATGAAAGAGGCATCAAGGAACTTGATGGGCACCACGTACTTGATGGGCCCAATGTACTGATATAAACTAAAAAGCCAGAAACACATAAATAGTCACATTAAAGAGGGACAATAAGGAGGAGCAGCAACAGTCTCAGTCTGCAATCATTTATCTATTGCAGCCACTGAACACCATAAATTCCATCTGGGAAACTTCCCTCAGTTGTCTCATGTTACAGTTTCATTTCACTATCTTTGACAGCAATATAATTCTGTGCATTGCAACTTCCAAGCAGCAGAGACTGCCCACAATGATCCTCCTCAGCAGGAAATGTTGACAAATACTTAAGAAAAGAACTCGTGCAATGTGTAACATTCTATACCTATACAGCTATATACACTCTGCAACTCCAAAATTTAAAAAAAATAAATAAAAATTAAATAGGTCAGGGAAAACAAAAAGGAAGACCAAAGGAAAATTGCTTCATGTTTCACTAAAAGCAGCTCTTAACTTACTTTATCTATGCAGGGCTTGACACCAATCATGATGGATTCACCAAAAATTCTTCCATCTTTGCTTAAGGCTTTCCGGGCTTGAAGCTTCGACTGGTATCGAATGTGCATCCAGTTTCCTGTGTTGGACATCTGCAGGACATGAGGTGAAAATGGTGAAATGGAGCTTCTTAAATCCAGGAGTCCCAATGCTTTCAGAAATAAATGTCAAACTAAGACATACCACGTGCTTTAATATGTTTCCATACTGAGCAAACTGTAGAAGAATATAGGAAGCTGATGCTTGAGGAAACCTGAAGGACAGAAAAAATGGAAAAAAATTACTAGCAGTTTAAGAATTCAGGTGCTAAAATACAACCCTATTAAGAGTTTATAGAAATCCAGAAAAGAGCAATGTGAAACCACCTTACAGCCATACTACCTCCTAGGCACTTTTACTTCACCACACCTCCATGGCAGAATGGTGCCTTGCTAACTTGAAAAAAATAACATTTAGCTTCAGTTAAGGTGACTTGCTAGAAAATACGTTTGCTTGCTTTAACCACAGTTGTATTTCCTGCACACCTACGAATGCCAGACAACAGCAATGCCCAAGTATTTCCCTTCATATGTCATGAAAGACTCCACCCAGGTTTTTCTAATAGTTTGGAAATCAGCTTACCCAAATACAGTTACCCATGTGTCATCAAGCTGATCTTCTGAAGTAAGGGAATCACCTTGAGTGTAAAAAGGATCTAGCTGAGCAGGAGATAGAGTAGTTTTCCTAGGCTGCCCAATACTTGCAGGACTGAACACACTTGAAGCTGTTAAATTAAAATGGCATTGTTGAACAGATTTCTTTTGCAAAACAGATAAGCTTAAAAGTCTATAATAAAAGAATAAATTCAGTATCAAGCGTCTCACTAGTATATAGAGGAGTCTGATGGAGATTTACTCACAAACAAAAAGCAAGTCAACCCAAATCTCATATCCACAAGCAGCCTACTAAGTCTCACGACTAACACAAGGTCAGAAACCTTATGAAGATGGAAGGTAACCCATCAATCTCAGCTGCTTCACTCAAGTACAGCCACCTCTGTGCTCAGTTCCACAACACTTTTTGAATAAGGAATAAGTAAAGGTGACCAAAATTCAGTCAGTGTCAGAAAGGATAATTATTTCCTACTCATACCCATACACCTTCTGAAAAGCTAATACACAACTCCTTTGCAAATTAGCTTCAACAGTGATGACTCTTCTGTATTAAGGACAGCAATATGAAAGCAGATTATATCTTTTGACAGGACATCTACCTGTGCCTGGAGTTGATGGTAGAATTCCAACAGATGGGCTCTGTGTCAAGGAGAAGTTGGCCTGCAGTAAAATACAGAAAGTAACAAATCATTCTTACAGGTATACACTGCTCAGATCAAAAGAGATCACCTTCAGGTGATTCAAGCACCAGGCAAGAAAATTAACTGTTGCCTTAACTTATTCCTAGCTTTTAAGAGTAAGAACATGTATGTTTGATACGAGATTATTAAGAGTTACTAATGAAAAATTATTTGTATCTAAATGTACTTGACATATGCTTTGTGAGCAAAGTAGCTTTAAGTAGCAGTACTCAGAAACCTTATAGTTTAGCTTTTTCAAAATAGTCATCCCCCTTATGGCTGCAGCACAGTAATTCACACATTCACGTGCATGCTGATGGGAACAACGTCAGTATCCTAAGGTACCAGCATCTAATTTTCACTTCCTAAAGGGTTCAGAAATCATGGGATCACTTGTATTCCTCGCAACTAGACTTACTTTCCTGCTCAACTACTTAGTGCAACTGCACTGAAGGAAAGGATACTTCAAGTTTTAGCTGTTAGTTCTTTCTTTATTTTTTAACACAGGATTTCAACATCCAAAATAATTTTAGTGTATTTTTAACCTGAATCATGGCATTTCTTAGGTACAAAACCAAACAAGCTGGAGTACCTGTAGACAGAGCAACATGTGTTCTGATAGCTGCTCAACACTTTTTTTTTTAATTTAACAGCCAGTCTTTTGAGACACTATTGGATTCTGTCTCTCACAGGGAACCTCAGCTTTCAGAACAAACTTTTCACAAGGTAACATTCAATAGAAAGACTGCTCATTCAGTGACAAGCACCCTCCTTGCATCAGAAGGATCATGTCCCATGAAAAAGAACCTAATAATGCTCGACTACTCAGTTGAGGTAAGTAGGGGAGCTTATTATAAAAATTACCTGGCAGAAATTTTAGTGTTCCTCTTTCAAAATGAACACCACCTGCCCACCCAAATTTTGATTAGATATTTTACTCAGAAAAAAATTCCTTCTATTTCAGGAGGTGTCTCTATTGCCCACTAAAAGATAACCATAGAAACATAGAATTGTCCAGGCTGGAAAAGACCTCTAAGATCGAGTCCAACCATTAATGCAGCACTGCCATCTACACCACTAAACCATGTCCCCAGGTGCCACATCCACGTGATTTTTGAACACTTCTTGGGATGCTGATTCCAACAATTCTCTGGGCAGCCTCTCCCAATGCCTGACAGCCCTTTCAGTGAAGAAATTCTTCCTGCTATCCAATCTAAACATCATTCTGCTGCAGCTTGAGGCCATTTCCTCTTCTCCTATCATTTGTTATACCTGGGAAAAGAGACCAACCCCCATCTGTCTACAACCTCCTTTCAGGTAGTGAAAGCGCCTTGCTGGCCATCAGCAGCTCAATAAGTTTACAAGAAGGTGAAAATCTGCAACAATTTGTACATATAAAGCACAGCTGAGGCACAATTTGCTTTTCTCACTCTCTACTGTAATGACGGGGTTTCCTTCATGACAGCAGCTCTCAATTTAGTCTGCACAGGAGCAGGCACACCAAACACCCAGACGAGCTGAAGGCTCACCCATCATTTTTTACAGTTTACAAAACCAGGTTGAAGAATTCACTGAGGCAGGAAGCTGCCCCACATCTTCTGCTAAGAACAGGCCAGTCCCAAAGACACTTACTGGTCTTCCTGAGGTTAGAGGTGTTGATCCAAGCCCAGGACTAGATAACTCATCATAAATGCTCCTAACTGGGGGAGCACCACCCTTGTCTTTATGAGTAGGGACGACTGGCTGTGGGGGAGATCCTCCTGCAATTCAAAGGAATGAAGGAAGAGCATCAGAAAACTTGCCACTTTACTCGACTGCTACTTGTTTTTGAATCTCCAGTGGTAAATTCAGCCATGAAAAAAAACTGCTGGTTGTTTCACTGGGCATTTGCAAGACGATCTGTTCAGGTTTGAACGGTCTACATAACACATCATGTGTTAAACTGTATCCTTACAGAAGTACCATCTCAAACTTTTAGACCTCTTCTTGACCCTTTATACTCTGTTAACATGCCCTTGTTCTTTAAGCCACCTTCTCTCCCATAAACTTTGGGACTTCCAGTAGAAAACAGAATCAAACTGACTGAAAGAACCACTTTGTGTGGGTTTACCTCAGGAAAAAAAAAAAAAAAAAACACAGCTAACAGTTTTCACTTGCAAAACATTTAGAAACTAAGCTTTTCCAAAGTACTTTTCAATCCTAAAATTCTGAGCTTCAAGACTCCACTCTGAAATGTTAAACACATATAGGAACTGCTACCCTTACATGCAATAACTGTATATTATATAAAGCACTCTCCCATCAAGGTTTTCAGTTCTAGTGATGTATTTAATCCCTTATTTTGGTAAGCCTGTGTTAGTACCTTACTCTTTCCTCTTTTTCTAAAATTGATACTTTGAGACTGTAATAAACCCTTTTAAAATCAGTTGGGTGAAATCCACATGACTACTTTCAACGTCATAAATACTTCCCTAAGAGGTTTGTACTTGACGGGGTCAGGAAAGGCAGACAACAGCAAGAAGTAGGAGACCAACAGACCAACAATCATAGAACATTTAATGTTGGAAGGGACCCAGAAGGATCATTGAAGTCCAGTCCTGCCTGACATTCAAAGAAGAGAATACCTAAAATTATCTTGCAGTACCTTAATCCTCAGATATTAAATTATGCCAACTGATTTGGTAAAAAAGTCAAGATCACCCCTGATGTGTTAACTACTCCCTCATACTTCTCAAAGAAGAAAACAGACATAATAATATCAATTTAAAACCATGGGCAAGGACTCTTCCTAGTGTAATCAATCAGGTCACTGAAAAGAAATGAGCCTCTACAGCTAGCAAGAGTCAAAGCTACTTCAGTCCAATGACAGCAGACACCAGCAAGTTATGAAACTGCAAGGATTCAAGACTGCAACAGCCAAGCAGAATAACGAGACGAAGCGATTTCTGACTTTCAGGACAACTTTTCAGCATTTTACAAATTCTGACCTGCAAGTAGCGGAGACCTCGTTTCCATTACTCCAACTGAAGGGCCGCATAAAGCACGTGGCTGGGGAGTCACTGGCGCAGGTAAATCGCCCATCAAAAACCCGGGAAGAAACTGAGCACCAGCTCCTTGTTTGGGAGATGTCGGGGAGCCAAGAGTCATTGGCTCAGCTCCTGAAAACAAAACGCAAAACCAGGAAAAAAATGAGTGATCGAGCTTTTTTCAAGTTGCTTAGATTGTGGTTCTATTAAGGCAATGTAACACAAGATACAGCAAGTGATTTCAGAATGCCAGAACCCTCAGGGTTGGAAGGGACCTGCCAGGTGAGCCAGGAGCGTGCCCAGGCGGGTCTGGAATGCCTCCAGAGAGCAACACCCCGAGACATCCCGGGACAGCCTGTTCAGTGCTCTGCCACCCGCAATGGAAAGAAGTTCTTCCTCATGCTGAGGTGGAACTTCTTGTGTTTTTGTTCACGGCCATTGCTCCTCATCCTGTTCTCATCACCAGCGAAAAGAGCCTGGCACCATCCTCCTCAACACCCGCCTTCGAGATATTTAGGTGCGTTAACGATTCCAAAGAGGGTTCTAATAATTCATTTCGCAAGCGAGCCAAGTTTACCACACCCTTGCATTTTTCGCGGCCACGAGCAGCGGCCGCTCGGTTCAGCTCGGCTTCACCCCAGAGGGAACAGCCCCGTCCCGGCCCCGTGTCCCACCGCCCCCTCCAGCCCGGCGGCACCCAGACTCCTCCTGGCCCGGAGCAGGGGGCACCCCCTGAGGCGGCGCCCGGGCCCGGCTCACCTGCGGGCGGCGGCTCCATGGCGAAGGCGGCCATGGCGGCCCGGGCGGGGAACAGGCAGCGGCGGCGGCGGCGGCTCCGCCGGGCGCTTTCAAACGGGACGGAGCTTCCTCCCGCCGTCACTTCCGACCCGCCCCCCGCCATCCTGTGCGGGATTGGGGCGGCGGCAGCGCCCTCACAGGGCCCGGCATCTGCCCCGGCCCGGCTCTCCCGTCACGGCTCCCCGCCGAACGGCCCCCTCCCCCCCGCGGAGGGCCAGGTCGCGAAAGAGTTGAAAGAACCGCAGTATCCGTCACGAGAGCTTGTCCTGCGTTGTTTCCACGGGCTGAGAACTCAGTGCTGCTGCCACCCTGACTCCCCAGGGAAAGGACTGCGGTCACTGCCCGGGCTACAGCGCTGCCACCCTTCCCTCACCGACACGGGAACGGTGACCGAGGGACAGCGATCAGATGCAGAGGGGTTGCCTAAACCTAGCGCATTAGCGTTCAGCACAGAGTCATGGAATGGTTCGGGTTGGAAGGGACCATGATCTTCCACCCTCCTGCCGTGTGCAGGAACACCTTCCACTAGCCCAAGTTGCTCCGAGCCCCGTCCAGCCCGGCCTTGAACACTTCCAGGATGGGGCAGCCCCAGCTTCTCTGGGACACCCGTGTCAGGACCTCACCTCGGGGAAGGCCACCCTCAGAGAACTTCTTCCTTGATCCAAACTCACTTTCTGTCAGTTTGGATCCGTTCCCTCTTGCCCTGGCACTACACTCTTGAGCATGAGCAATCACGGTGTGGTTCAAACACAGCAGCACGCAGAAGTTTGGACTATTGGTACCAAGAACATCAATCTTGAAACCAAACATTTCGAGTCACTTCAGCACACAATTTATCCAAACACGGTGTTCTTTTTATTTTACTGCATAATAATATATCAAACCATTAAGAACTGGTGTGAAGGCCACAAAAAATACTATTAAAATCTTTCACAGATTTTTTTTTGTGTGTGTGAACATGCCATCTTAAGACAGTAATTCCAGCCTGAGATGTCTAAGTTACCTATCCTATGATGTCCGTTCTTTAGACATGGTGTGGAATGGAGTGAGGGAACAAAAAGTGGACTGAATGTGAAGGAAAGGAAATAGCAGTGAGCAGACAGGTTGTTATCAACAACATTTTTCATATATCCACCAAAGTGATTAACAAAAAAAAACCTCTGCTGGTTCCAGCTCTTTGGAAACATCACGTTAGTGCACTTCAAATCACTACTTGATGAGAAACGGTAGAAAGACATGAAGCATGAAAGCATCCTACACATTTTAAGCATCCTCAAAAGACCATCTGTTCTAATTTCCAAAAAAATTTAATGGCTGGCTAGCCCACAAAAATCAATAAAATCCTCTTTACTTGCAATATAAATTTAAAATCCAATATCAAGGTACTTCATTATATGAACATTTTATTATCTAGATTTTACAACCGAATAGAATGCGTACATTTGGAAAGTAAACAGGGCGACTTATTTCAGTTATTTTATTATCTTTCTCTATTGCCTGCATTTTCTGATGTATCATAAAAAACCTGCCATCATTCTGTATTTTTTTACTATTTCAAGGAAAATTGAACTTTATCTTTCTCTTAGCACTCTAGGAAGAGCTTGTTCTTGGGCAAAACTTCTCTGAAGTCAGTGGAATATCATCTGGCCTATAGATGACATGCTGAAAGAAACAGGGTCAAAGGAACGTAAGAAAAAATATGTAATGACTCGAAAATGCACAAGTGAAAAGGGGATTGCAAAATGATAGATTAAAGGACATCCAACATCTGTTCCTGTATAGTCAAAACAGACTGCTTCCCTTCTCCCTTTTGATCAGTCATGATCATTTATGCTTCCATTTTCTTTTACAATCTGTTCTTGGTACTTGTGAAGCTGCTCCATGAAGCCAGGATTTGGACAAGCCACGGGCCTCGCATTTTTCACCACTGAAAAGGCTCTGGCAAAACTCAGTCTTTCTGAATTCATTAGAAAACCAATGACTACAGCTGCTGCACGGGAGACTCCTGCATTACAGTGGACCAGCACCACGCCATCCTTCAGAAGAGAAATTAAACAGAAGTTGGGATATTCACAAGGCAGATAAAAACAAGTATGTAGCAACTTTATATAAAAATCTATTAAGACTTACTGAGAGCTCCTTGCTGGGCTCAAAGCAAAATATTTATACACATAAACATAAATAAGTACACAAGTAAGTGCAAACACAGATATATAAGCCCAAAATTAGTATTACTCTAACCAAAGCCACTTTATAATTACTAAGTACTTCAAATTTAATTCATGCCTTAAAAATAAAAAATATTCCTCTGTCCTTTTCCCTGAGTCCTTACAGGAGCCCCTTCATGTAAAAACCAAATCACAGACTCCCGGGATAGTAAGATATCTGATCTAATTGGGTGCCAATTTTAAAAGGGATTTTATTTGCGATATGGAAAGGAACTTGACAGTATCTTGCTAAAGGTTAAAAACATAGCAAGGCAACAAACAGCTGGGCACAGAGGCAGATTTTGGAATGTCTTGTAGTTCCAGTCACAGCTTCTTGTGTCCTCTGGAGTTCCTGAGAGACGATTCTGGGTAAGCTTGATCATGCGTAGGAACAGAAAAATCAGAACAGATATCGTGTGATTTGCAACAGATCTCCCTCCCCATCACCCTGCTGGTACAACTGCAGAGGCTGGGACAGCTGGTCCAACTAAGGTCCCTTACCGGGGCCAAGGTGCAAAATCCAAAACTACTGAACCTCCCATAAATTCACAAATGCTTCTCCTGAGGCTTGAATTCAGGCTTATCCTGAACTATGTGTAAAATTAATGGTTTTTATTCTATTTAAACATTTCCCACACAACCTCTGAGTCACCTGAATGGCTCTATAAAGGCACTGTAAATTTTGTTAAGAAGTAACGAGCACGAATTAACCCACGGACAACTAGACAATCTAGTGTGGCTCAGGTAATATTTGCAAGGTCCAGGCTTCATAATATTGTCATGTTTGTATATCAGATTATGCCCTGGAAAAGGCTCCAAAGTGTCTGCCAAATGCCACTGTGACACAAAAACAAACCACCAAAGCCACAGCACCTCCATATTCTGAATGAAGATACTGAAACACGACATGATTTGCTCAGATACTTGAGACCAAGCATATCCATTCTAGATATAAACAGCCTGCTCTGTCTGCCCTTAACAGGCACAAATTATTTCAGGGGCATTTTAGCCAGTGACAAAAAGACCAGTGACAAAAAGCACCAGGGTTCCTTTCCAGGAGCTCAATGGTTTATGCTACAGAATTGGGAGCTGCAATTATCTGGTCTATTAATAAGCACACAAGAGCAGAAAATGGCTCCTGCTCCAGAAATTTCCCAGTTTCAGTAACAAGACAAAGCAGGAAATTTAGTATTATTATTCATGTTGGAGAAATGCCAAGCTGAGACTAGAATTATGACTTGCACAACAAGATTATGGCAGAGCTAGGAACTGAGTCTGAGCCCCTGCATCCCAGCACAATGAATCACAGTATCATCCTTTCTTGCAATGAAAATCACATTCCCTGTGCTCTGCCTGCTGCAAATTGCACTCTTCATTCCCTTTCTCACAGTCATAGGGCTGTGATTCCTCATCACACAGACTATGGCAGAGTGGGAAGCAGACCTGTCCACATTCTTCAACTACCTGAGGAAGTGTCAGTGGTGACCTGTAAATCCAGAATAATGACACTAAAAATTATGCCACTGCTAATGAATCAATTGCTGAAGGTTATCTATGGTAAATGTGGAGCAGTTTTTACTGATTTAAGGGGAGTTATTTCAGACATAACGTACCATAATCGAGATCAATATTCAGCAGTGGCACTGAGAGTAAATAATACACACTGGAAGTCACCCTTGGTTTTTTCACTTTGTACAGTTCATGCTTTGTTTTCAACTTTCACATATAAGTTTGATTTGGATTTTTTAATAACTGTTCTGTTTTACATTGTCAAAAATTATTTAGTGATATCCATGGATCCTGAAAATGCCTGAACATGACTGAAAATGGGCAATAACATTAAACCAAATTTAACACTGAGAACTTTTATCTTTCCTTTTTAAACCCCATTGTTTACAATTCATACAAAGATTAATTTGACATGTCATTCTTGACTCGTTTTGTGTTAGCTATGAATATGAAGTGAGAAACAGATTGCAGATAGGAAATTCATCTTTATTTACCAGCAACTCCTTGCTCTGACCCCGATAGTGTAACCTTTGCCTACCAAGAAATGGTCCATGGGCTTGCAAGAACATCTTTTAAAGACACAAGACCAAGTTGGGTTTAATCTTTTATAGAGAGGGAAACAAAATCATTATACAATAATTATGCACAGTGGGCAAAAAGCCTCACCAAGGAAAGAAATTAAAAAGAAGCATAAAGCTTTAAGCTAATGTAGTTAGTTATGGATGGATCCATTCTACTTTGCAGTGGAACCAAGTCTTTTTCGTTAGGAATGACAAAAGGAGCAGTAAGGAGAGATGTTCATAAATAAACAGAGATTTCCTCCTTGGAAACACAAGATTTTAGAGGTTTTATTATTAGATACTAAATGCAAACATAAAAGAGTATCCCTCATTCATAGCAGTATGGCCTGACCTGTGTCACCTAACATGTCATGGAAAACCTGCCTGCCAATTTGGAGCTTAGAAGAAAAGGTGAGCTCTGATCAGTATCAGAGTTTGTACCGTGGTGTTGACAGACTTGAGCCATTACAGTTTTCGAAAAGTTGATCCAGTTACGAGCACCAGCTGGCAGTGACTTGAGGAACAGGGCAGGCTTCCCTTGCATCCTCAAATTCAAGTGCTCTCATACTCTCTCATTGAGTTAATCACGTTCTAATTATATTTCTCACGTATCACACTCTCTCACCAGTGAACATCTCTCCTTCCCTCAGATTAAGAGATGAAGCACTGGTATCTCTGTGATTGCTTGAACAGAAGAGCACTTCACAACACACTTTATCATAAGCTCTTTTAACCCTATTTTGACAAAGTAAATAAAGTGATTCAAGCCACCCAGAGATCTGTCTCTGCATACCACTATCACCTGCTTTGTGAACTGATCCTGGGGAATAACTATTCCACCAATTACCTGCTCTGTCACCCACCTCTCCCATTAGAAAACTGTTAATGTCGCTGTAAAAGTTTTCCTGAAAACTTCTTAGCTTACAAAATAGTAACCAGGACACAAACACCAGAGGCAGAAAGCAAAACTGTGCAGTTATGAATGGCAACTCCCATTTAGAAATGAAGTGGAAACCGTAACTAGATACCCTGAAAAGGTCATTAACTGACAATGTGTATCACATAGCTCATAAATGATAAATGAGAGAAGGAAAGAACACTGCAACACAAAGAAAGCTGGGACAAGATTATCTTCTTTTATCCCACCCTACATGAATAATGAATTTGGTAGATTTGGTGGAATAACACACAATAAGGTTTGGTTGTCAAGTCATAGTTTTCATACCAAAGCAATGTTTGTTGTAAATTACACAATAAGCCTGAATTTAAGAGCTGTGAGTCAGGGATGCTCCTGGTTACAGACAATTCTGTCAAGCAACCCCAGAAGGAGTCCCTTCAGCCCACTTCCCATGTCACATCTTTTTCAGGATTTTGGGAGCAGTTAAATCAGTTATTGGCTCCAAGACTACTAACACATTCTCTGACATCCTTGGTACATACCCACATCATAGCTCAGTGTGTGGCATCTTCTTGGAGAACCTGGTCTAGTGGGAGGTGTCCCTGCCTATGGCAGGGGTTGGAATGACATGATCTTTAAGGTCACTTCCACCACAAACTATTCTATGATTCTACAGTGAAAAGTTCAAGGATGGTGAACAGCTGATGACAAACCACACAGATCTGTAAAAGCCCTGCTAGGCTTGTTTCTAATCCAAAGTTGATTACTTATCTATTGATCCCCAACAGATGAGTAAATTTCCTCCTTTTCCCTCTGTCAGGGGTAGTGACTTAGGATAGGATTTCTTTATCTAAAGTCAGCCACTGGTACATCTACATTAAAGAAGCATTTCTCTAAAACTCAAGACAGTCATTCTGAAAAAACATTGTTGGAAGGAATGGAGATTAACAGCAGTGTCATGTTTCTAGGAATGCTCAGGAACTGCCTGGATTCTCTATTTAAAATTTTAAAAGGCAATGGTGAAGCTATTCATTTGGTAGCATATTTTCTTTTGACAAAAGAAGCTGCTTTAGTTCTTAAATAGTGTAATAAATAATGTAAACAGGGTAACTGACTAACATTAATTATTGATATACCATACCTGGATCTTGGCTTTCTCAATAAACTCAAAACATTCAGGGAAGTAGGAAGTAATATCAGTTTCTGGGAGGTCCAGAATAGAAATGGTCTTGTATATGAAATCATTGAGGAAGGCATTTTGGACTCCATATGCCACATTTAGAATGTGAGTAACCTAAGTAAAAAAAAAAATAAAAGGAAAAAAATGAAAAGGGCATTTTCTGAAGACAGCAAGCAGAGGTTATCAGTAGCAGAGGTTAATTATTCTTTAGGTATACACAGACTGTAATGTTCAGTTTTACATACATATGCTGTCTACGGTGTGGTTTTCTCCCAGCAAAGTTTCAATGTGTGATAAAACACACTGTGAGAAATTTCAGGGTTTTTCTGAGAGGAAATGAAAAATCAGTGCTCAAACAAACAAAGACTAAAACATGGATTTTCAACAGAAAAGGGAAATGTCAGCATGTAGGTGGAAAATAAAAGAGGAAGCAATAGGAACAAGAGCACAGGCCACCCAACAATCCCCTAAATTTCAAGCCTGCCCTAACCCATCAGTTTAATTATCCTTCTGGTGAGTTACTGGAACCATTTACAGGAGCAGAAGAATTTCAGATTAAAGTATACCTGCCTTTGGCAGGCAAGACCACTTCTGGCCTCCTGCCATCTCTGCTTTGTCCAGGCTACAGCCACTTTGTGGGGTTTTTAACTTACAGTGAAGTGACATTTAGATAGCACCAGATCCCAGCCTGGTGCACTCCCTGTCCTGCAGAAGCACCACTGTCCGGAGGCCTTATCACCCCATTACTGTAACAAAGAAGAGTAAAAAGACTAAAGTTTGGGACAGACTTTGAGCTGTTTTGTTTTTCTAGTTTCATCAATACCCATAAGGCAAGGAGGGATGGTGCTGCTTAGTGTCTGAAATGTAAACACACATAGCAATGCAGGAATCTCTTCCATTAACAGCTCTAAACAATCATCACTTTTGCAGCAGAGCAAGACTCTTTTCAGTGGTGCCCAGCAAGGATAAGGAGCAATGGCCATAAACTAAAACACAAGAAGTTCCACCTCAACTTGAGGAAGAACTCCTTTCCATTGTGGGTAGCGAACAAGCTGCCCAGGGAGGGTGTGGAGTCTCCCTTTCTGGAGACATTCCAAACCCGCCTGGACGCGTTCCTGTGTCACCTGCTCTAGGTGACCCTGCCTTGGCAGAGGGGTTGGACTGCATGATCTACAGAGGTCCCTTGCAAGATTCTGAGATTCTGTGACAGCATTTCAACTTCTCGTGAAGCTCACAGGCACTCGTCCATCTGCAAATGGAGTAGCCTTTTGACAGTGCGAATGGAACACAGTTTTTCTCAGAGTTGCTAGAGAATATTTTAGAATTTTTAACTTAAGAGACACTCGCTGCGCGCAAGGCGCGAGATGCGTTTGTACGTCCGCGTAAATTTACCTTGTGCTTTCTCATCGTCTCCAGGTCGTGAGCAGCATCCTGCGACCCTGCGGAGAAAGGACATCGGGCCGGTTGCTGCGCTGAGCCCCCGCCCGGCCGGCGGCCCCGGGGCCCGCCGCCCCCAGCCCCACTCACCCAGCAGCAGCCAGGGCTTCACCACGCCGACCTGCAGGTCGGCGCTCAGGTCCTGCACGAAGCCGCCGCCCGGCGCCGCCTCCGCCTCCTCCTCCTCCACCTGCAGGCAGGCGCCGCGCCACGTCTCGATGATCCTGCGGCCGGTCAGCGTCGTCACGCGGGTGCGCTGCTTGCGCAGGTTGGCCCTGGAGAAGCTGCGGATCTCCTGGGCGAGGGAGTGCATGGCGCGACTGCCGCCTCCGCTCCGCTCCGCCGCCCGCCCCGCACCGCCCGCGCTGCCGCCGCGCCCTCCGGGCGGGGCCTCGGCAAAGCACCGACCGCCCTCCCCCTGCCCGGCGGAGTTAAAGCAGCCTGCGAACGGCTGGTGCCTGTGCTCCCTGTCCTGCTGCTACGGACAGCAAGCCGTGCAGCAGTGCCTGACTGTCCCTAACTGGGACCTGCTTCTTGGGAAGCGTGGGGAAAAAAGTAAGGAGGTAAACGGAAAATATTAGAATTAGGTGCTTTGGGTGTTTTTTCCCCCGGAGTATTGGACTAGTGTATTCTCTATAGCATGCTATTTGTAGTGTTACACAGCTGGTACGTAGTATTAGAATCACAGATTGGCCTGGGTTGGAAGTGACCTTCCAGACTGCCCAATACCCACCCCCTGCCGTGGGCAGGGACACCTTCCACTAGACCAGCTTGCTCAAAGCCCTGTCCCACCTGGCCTTGAACAGTGCCAGGGACGAGGCAGCCACAGCTTCTCTGGACAGTCTGTGACAGTGCCTCACCACCCACGCAGAATTTCTTCCATATATCTAACCTAAATTTCCCCTCTTTCAGTTTGAACCCATAACCCCTTGTCCTGTCACTACAGTTCCTTGCGAAGAATCCCTCTCTGGCTTCCTTAGATATGTCCCTTTAGATACTGGAAGGGTACATTAAATATGTGAAATATTTGTTTGTGAAGTTAGATGATAATACTTAACTTAAATTCTTCCAGAAATAGATTTCAGTTTGTTAACAATCCTCTGTGCTGGCTTGTAGAATAAGGACATATTACTACATATTCCCCTCTTATAATATTCCTCAAATCTATGTTAGAAGGATATGATGACTCTGCAAACATCCTCCTGATAGTTCCCTAGCATGCTGTACAGAACAAAACAACTTAGTTCCATGTAAAGAGGTCTACAAATGCCCTGTCAATTCAAGAAGAGGAGAACACTGTTAGGAACTGCAAGAATATGAGTTATTTCTAGGAATGCCAGAGGCAAATGTCCTAACAGGAGTAGACATAAAATCAAGTTCATCTGAAAAAGGCAGAATACCCCACACAGTCTGCAGAATCAAGACCTCTAAACCAAGAGATAAAATCAAGGAAGATGCTTGGGATAGGGAGAGGAACAGAACAGAGATCTGCGCTGGATCAGAGGTCAGGGTGAAAGAGGCTCCAAACAGAAGACTCCAGGACAAAACATAATTCTCAGCAATCACTTTCTGCAACAAAAATTATATTTTAAGTACATGTAGGACGTTTTGTAACATTCTGCATTGTAGATGTGGGGCCTCTCTGAAAGTGGAGTGTGGTTCACAGCAGTTAATTTAAAACAATTTGATGTAGAAGTTGATTAATTCATTTTTTGTTAAAGCCTTACCAGTAATTTTGATGAAGTTGATCAGAAGGAAGGAATGGAGAGCTTCAGGTCTGTGCATTACACCAGCAGTTACATTGTATTTCATGGCTGATTTTCAAGCGGTATTGGCTCGCAGCAGCTTCCCCTGTGAAAGACAAGAACATCACGGGATCCTGCAAGAATGCAGAGAACCTTATGTGTCAGGAGATTGGCAAGGCCTGAGCAAAATTTTCTTGCAGATGAGCTTCAGCAGCCTGGCCAGGCTGTGAAATGTGCTTTGTAACCAACTTCAGCCCTGTACGAGTATGGGGCTTGCTGTGTGAACATTTAAAAGACTAAGGCATATCCATGAGACAGTTATAATTGAGCTTAATAATACACCTACGTGTTGTTCCTTAACCTCTGAGGAGGAATCTTCAATAGGTGTGGACACAAAAAGGCACCTGATTCTCAAGTAAAGGGTTCATTCTCTGCTGGGAATGTTGCTCCTTGTTACGACTGCCTTAAACACCAGGGGTCCCTACTGAACATAAAATCTGTACTATTATCTCTCTGAAATCCAAACACACTGCAGATGTTTATACACAGAATTAGTGTCTTATTATTAAATTAGTTTGACCATATCATAAGCATTAGATCTAGCCTGAATATTCATAGACACTATTGTTTGTGACGCAGGCACTTCATGCTGCTGTCAAGTTGTTAATAGTCTTTACTGCAGGATAGAAGAGAAGATAATCATGAATTAGAGTTTAAAACTGGGATCTCAGTTCATGGATGAACACTTCCTCTTGTGTGCTTTGCTGAGAGCATGAGAATTCCCTAAAGATGTGGCAGAAACCTCTCAGGTTTTGAATGACATACCTACCAATGCAAATGCAGTAGTTTTAAGTAATTTTTAAGTACATGGTTCTTCTGTTTTGTCTGTCAGGAAATTCAGCAGAACCTGTTCTAGTAGGTATAAACTCAGAAATGAGTATTGTAGTCACTATTACAGAAAGCAACTTGTACATGTTCAGAAGACTCCTATGACAGAACATCATCTCTCATTTTTTGTTTAGGTACTGCCTGTATTTATTGATGCAAAAGAGCTGGCTTCTATCAGAGCAGTGATAACCAGACTCTCCAGAGAGCTGACTTTGAAAAACTAGCCTTGCACTCTGAAAAATGCATGTTAAAGGGTTGAACTTGATTGTAAAATGCACTGAAAATGGACAGTTGATTGTTATGCTGGTAAGTGGAGGATCAAGTCTTAATCAGTACACTAATTACATCTCATTTCAGACTGCAATAACCAGATGACTTTGAGGAGTACGAGAAACGGGGGAGAAAATCAAAATATTGTCAGCTATTATCTAGTTGTAATACAAGCCTCTGCTGCAGACTGCACATTCCTCAGTTGAAAATAACAGAGAAGTTGAAAGTAACTGCATGCACCAGTTGATCACAGGATGACTGTGAATCATGAATATGGTGTGGTGATGAGAAAGGCAAGCGTGACTGTGGAATGCATGAGGAGGTATTTAAAATAGAGAGAGGGAAATAATAATGCTATTGTATAAAGTTCTAACAAGCCTTTTCGGAAGTGCATTGTGCTATTTGGAGATGACTGTATTCAGCAAAGATGATCTCATACTTGAAACAAGTGCAAGGAATAGCTTAAAACTTAAATTGCACTGCAAATGTTAGATTCTCATCAAAGCACTCCGTGGTCCTGGGAGCTCTCGGGACAGGCAGCTCCTAAAGGGAGGGAGTAGCCCTTGGCACAGCAACTATTTCCCCACCATCTGTGCCAACACACACATAAGCACTTCTAGCAATGACTTACCTGCCTCCCACAACCCAGGATGGTGTGTCCCACACAGTCTGAGGCCCTTACCTGGTGCAGAGTCTCCACCTCAGCTTTGCAAAGTTGTCAAGACATGATGGTTACTCCTGCTGGTTTTTCTGTTTCTGAAACAGAAGTTTGGAGGCACGAGCTCAGGATCATTCACACCCTGAGCAACAGGGCAAGATGGTACATGGGATGCCATCCTCCCGTTTCCATGCCATTGCCCTCAGAGACAACCAGCCTCTCATTTGTTCTCATCTATTTGTTTTTCATCCTTTAGATTTGCCTGTATCTGGTAGGCATGAAAAAAATATTCTGGAAGAAAACTAGAGTCTCAGAAACATGACTTGTCCTCCTTTTTCCCATATCCTGAATGAGGATGCAGATATTAACTCCTTTGTCCTGGTATCCAGTAACATGCTGGAAAAATCTATCTTAGGTGGGATCCTGACTGGGAAGTGAAATGTATGACCTTAAAAAGCTAATGAAGTGTAGACAAAATCTTGAAATGCCATTTTATGAGGAAGAAAGAACTTGTAACAAAGCTACTTCTGGAACTAAATATAGCAAAATGTCCACAGTCATTCTCAATTTTTTGTACTGAAATCACTACTTTGCTGAGGTGAGCTGTAAGTTTGCCAATTATTGTAGGTTTTGGGGTTTTTTTCCTAAGATACAGGAAGAAAGAATGAAGGCAGGGGCAAATTTGGTATATGGCATTTTAAATGTGTTGCTGTAGTTGGTCCAAACTGGAATATTACGGGAAGTAGGACCCTGCTGAAGGCTGTGTACAGAAAGTTATCAAAATAGAAGTGTCATAGGGCATCCCTGCACACAGTGCTGCAGTTACAAGTCCTGTGACCTGGTTGTTAGTGAGATAAGCTTTGCTGCAAAGTGTTAGTTTGTTCTGGATTGCTGGCTTTGCCAGTTTGTAACACATTGTAAGTGCTAGACCCTATTGGCTAAACACAGTGCAGTTACTTGTGTGGGGGAGTGGTGGTGAGAGTCGTCTTTATATTCGTTTGTGCTCTTTTTCTACATAATCGTGGTGCTCATTTACTGCAGAAGTTTCTGTTGTAAGGGTAGTATATATCCTAAGCACACTCCTTCATAGCCTCTATTCCTCTACCGCTTTAACATCCAAATCAAAGCATCCACTAAAGCTGTGCTGCCTCATTCTTGACCAGTTTTACCCATGTAGTGTGTTTTCAGGTGAGAACAGGGGATGCATCTTGGTCAAGCCCAGAAGCAGAGCCAGTTCTTCAACTCTTTGAGTCTACAGCCTGGGAGACTGGGTTGATGAAAAGCCCAGTCCATGCTGCAAAAGTCTGTGAAGAAGCCCAGTAGCTGCTCCTAATAATAATAATATAAATAAGTCTGTGAACCTCCAAATGCAACCTTTTATCCCTGGCCTGAAGGGTAGGCTACTTCTCTTTGTTTTATTTATTTCAAGCAGCATTGTTTGCTGGTTTCTATAAAGCTATCCTGAGCCAGCAGTGTTTCCACTGGCATAGCTCCTCATATTGCTGCAGGGAAATTTCCCCAGAAGCAAAGCCATGCCCATAACCAAAGGGTATGACCCTACAAACACTTGTCAGGGCATTCCTCTCTGCTCTCACCACACTTTGTGAGCAATCCATGCAAATGAACAGGCTGATTCACTGATCCAAAGATGTATATTTTTATAGTGTGTCAGGGATTATGCTGAATTATGAGCACTGAGGAATAGGGTAGAATGCAAAGCTGAAACGTTTAATAGCCAAAGAGAGTGTTCCTGGGGACCTGTTGGTGTGAGGAGGATCTGGCAGTATTCATACCTCCTTTACATAAGTAGGACCTGAATTCCACTCCTATTTGTGCTCGGGTTTCTCTTCCCCAGGACTTCCCCTAAACTTGCTTCAGTGCGTTCATGTGTGAGTGAAGATACATGCAGATACATATGCACACACACATATGTAAATTGTTCGTGTGTTCATGAAGCTTGATGTAAAACCGGGTATGTCAGCTCAGTAGTAGCAACACAGGCAAAGTCAATCAGGGAAAGGAACAATATCAAGAGACCACAAGAGCGTGACCCATTTTAACAGAAATGCACATGTATGAAACACCTTCCATGCAGGCCGGCTGCTCTGCAAGGGAGCGATGACCAACTCTGCCCTTAGCACAGACCATCCGTCACTGAGACGATTGTTCTCAACCATTTGTGTGTTATTTAATTTTAAGAACAACTTCACTTCAGAAAAGCCAACCTAAGAGAAGTTAACCTTGCAGTAAAGCCTGAAAAGAACATGTCAGGGTCAGGGCCCTCAGATAGAAATGAGAAAATCTGAGCTGTTCAAGAGAAATGATGTTAACATAAGTGAGTTTCTGCAACACTTTCAAGTCCTTTGAAACCTGAAACATGGTTTTCTTTCTCCATTTTAGGGGGAAGAGGTGAAGTGAAAAGTAAAATTACAATTTTTCAGTGGCTGACCGTTATGACTACTCATGACTTGTTTTTTGTCAGAATACTCAAAAGAGCATTTTCCATTCTGTACCTCAGCTTCTAGCAGCCTACTTCTGCAAAAATGCAATTAATCTGTCTCCCAACCTTCCTGTTTCCCTAAAGGTTTGTTTCAGTGGTCATTCAAAGATAGAAGAGCTACCTCAGAACAAAAGCCCACAAAAGTTTCTCTTACTGCGAAGACCAAGCCTACAGGCTGGAAAGTTAAAAATGAAGGTAAAAATCAAAGTTTATTTCAGAGTTCTTGTAGCATCTTCTGTGTAGCTTCTGCTAATGTGTAGCTTTCACAGGCATAATAAAATATTAATGTTACAATTTGTAGCAGGAAGCATAGCAAGTTTTTCTAGTTTCACAGGGTTCAAGAAGGAGACCATTATAGCTTCTAGACAGGATCATAAAACAAGTGCAGTAGGAGAATTATTTTGTAGATTAGTGTAGTCAGACATGTAAGTAGTACCCACTCTTACTGTTTACCACGAGGAGAGGCCTTCTATAAGTTGGGTTAAGGTGAAGTGGAACATGCATAAGCACGGCATCTCACACCCTGGAAAAAAACCCAGGAGAATACTGTTCCTCTGCAGGGCGTTCTCCTGCCTGGCATACGGATAATATTGCACCGTGCTTGATGCTCGTGTGTGGGAAGCAGTTCCCTGTAGGCAGGGAAGAAAAATTAAGCTATTTGAGCCCTATCTCATCCTGTGTCTATGGCTTGATCCAGCCAGCCCAGAGCTTCCTAATTACTTCTGTCCCATTAACAAGGACAGATCTAATTTTCCTTTCCCTCTCAATATATTCAGGCAGGAGCTGTTATTTCTTCTGATTTCTATATCCAAGACACAGTTAAGCTAAGTGAGCCTTTGCTACAGTATCCTAGAAGTCTGTGTGGGTCCAGAGGGTGATGGTCACAGTCATAAAAGAGAAGTAGATCACCAGGTATTAAATGCAAGACTGTCTCCAGCTCCCAGAGTCCCTGAGCCACAGCCTGCTGGAGTTTGGGAGCACACTCTTTGGAAGCAGTGGTGCTTGTGCTCTTCCTTAGTGCTCCGTTCTTTGGGCATGGGATAGAGACAGGCTACTGAACTGGAGGGGCTTTTGATCTGCCCGAGTTCTTATGTTTTTATTTTCCTTCTGGTCAACTGAATAATAAAAATTGGTAAGCTTACCATTTTAAACTTTAAAAATTCCATAAAATCACCTCATATTTTGTTTACATAAATCCCTGGCTCCAGAGGCTACGCCTTACTAGTCAATAGTGTTGATGGGGTAAAAGCTACCACAATAACCAAGTTTGTAATGTTGTAAGGTCAGCAAAGGGGGGATTTATTCTTGCTGTGAGGACTGAGACAGATGCATCTATCAATATTTGGGGGATAGGTGATTGTATCTGTAAACCAGGGCTTAAAAAACAAGAAGAAAGCTGTTAACTCCAGGGAAAGACATTTCTGGAACAAAGGTGACATCCTGGAATGTACACATAAAGGCACACTCAGATTAAAACCAGTAATTTTTTGGTATACTGTAGAATCAAAGAATGACCCAGATTGACCTAAACTGTCTCTTAGTGTTTAATACTTTTCTTTTTTTCTTTAATAACTAGAAGACTGAAAGGCCAAGGTCTTTTTAACTACGTCTTCTCTTTGAGAATTTCAGTAAAGAAAGTACAGAATCATTTTGCTTCAACTCAAAAGCTACTCCTTTCTTTACCTTACTTAATTACTTTTAAAGTAGCCAAAGCTTCCATTCTGCTTATTAAAATAATTGAATCTTTATTTGCTTCTTTTTATATGGATTTCATTTTTACTTGTAGACCATAAACAAAGTTCAAGATGATGAAGGCATCTTTTCTGATTTGCTTTAGAAAAAACATATAAATCATTTAGACTTAAACTAATGGTAGAAAACTAGATTTGCATATCAATATGAATACATTTTATGTAATTCATTTACAATTTTGTAATTAATTTACTATTTTGATAGCATCTTAACTGGGAAGATTTCTTACCTTTGGGAATATCTTGTGAAAACAAGTCATGAGCAGTATTTCCCTTTCTTCCTTTTCCCTCCACATTTTTTAACCACACTTTCAAAATCACCAGAAGCTGACTGAGTCACGGTCCTTGAATGTGAAAGATTTCCATTCAGGATTGATTGACAGGACAAATGTCCTACCAAAAGGGCTTTTTAGTATTTGGAATACCAGTCAATGACTCTTTGTGAGCAGCACTGAGTGTTCTTGGCTTCACCTTAATTTTAAAACTTCACAATTTTTCACAAGATGGAATAGCTGTTTTCTGTCCAGCTCTGAACAATGAGCTTCATTAACTGAAGTGGATGAAATCTCTGATGCTACTTTGCTAATGGCATTCCTTGTTACTGGAATATAATTCAGCAAGTTGAATAAGAGACTATTTTTGACATGAACACTGGGAAGGGAAAAGATTTTTCTGGATTAGATGAGGATTTATTTTTTGTGAGCAACACAAATTAACAGTTTCATTATCAACATCAAAAAATATTGCAGGGAAAACAAAACCAAAGCACAACCTTGGAAGAGATAGAGATATATATATATACATATATATGGAGTTATATCTAGAAGCCAAACTTTTTTCAATCATG